TTACTGTTGGTATAACGTAGGGATGGATCATACACTGTTTGTGTGGTATAACCTAGGGATATATCAATCTCTGTTACTGTTGGTATAACGTAGGGATGGATCATACACTGTTTGTGTGGTATAACCTAGGGATAGATCAATCTCTGTTACCGTTGGTATAACGTAGGGATGGATCACACACCATTAGTGTTGGTATAACGTAGGGATGGATCACACACAATTACTGTCGGTATAACGTAGGAATGGATCACACACAATTACTGTTGATATAACGTAGGGATGGATCATACACTGTTTGTGTGGTATAACCTAGGGATATATCAATCACTGTTACTGTTGGTATAACATCGGTATGGATCACACACCATTAGTGTTGGTATAACGTAGGGATGGATCACACACAATTACTGTTGGTATAACGAAGGGACGGATCATACGCTGTTTGTGTGGTATAACCTAGGGATATATCAATCACTGTTACTGTTGGTATAACATCGGTATGGATCACACACCATTACTGTTGGAATAGAGTAGGTATGGAGCATACACTGTTTGTGTGGTATAACCTAGGGATAGATCAAACACTGTACGTGTTGGTAAAGTGTTATATCCAGTGCCGTTCTAGATTAGATCTGTATCATTGTTAAATAATAGTTTAATCTTTGTCGAAGTTGTAGTGGTCCATTGCTGATCATTTCATTATGGTGAAAAATCACTTAAGAAATTACCCTTTTAATTATTTATTAGCAATATCATGTATTTATGAAGTATATCACGGCCATACCAAGGGCCACTGTCATTATGTTTACAAAGCTGGTACTTGCTGGCTGGTACATTTATTCTGATACGACATATTCTAGTTGGCTTATCTTTTCATTTCCATATAACAGATTATAGTTGCCTACTTTATATACGTCGTTGTTCCCAAGTTCGAAACGCATATCGTTGATACAATGAAAGTAACAATTAAGTCAGTTGAGCAGAAAAGTCTTCCTGCTATTTCTATTGATGTTAATATGCTATTTGGAAACAATATGATGCTACTCTTTCAAGATTGTAATGAATATTAGATACTTTATATTTTAAAAACTGTTAAAGTTATGTTGAAGGAAAAAAATAACAAATCTGAATCGGACGGACAGGTTGTAGTGTCACTGCCAAGAGACAGGAGTCGGGACTGTTATCAATCCTTCAGTTTGCCTGCATGAACATAGCTTCAGTCATCTAATAAGAATCACTGAGAGTTTATGTTAGAAATTAAATCCATCATGATATAGCTCAAACTAAATGCGCCTATCTATGACTTTGAACATGACATTCTTTGCTGGTTTAATATGTCAAATAAGTACGGTCAGGAGTTACCTCACCATTAGTTTAAAAAACAAATATAGTTGTTAGTGCTTTATAGATAAAAACGAGATGAGGGAGTGAAGCAAACCATTTGTTATAAACTACGTTAGTGCTATCATGTCCAGACATCGGTGTTTAAACGGCATTGAAATACAAATGCCGTTGTTGTTTAGTGTTTTCATTATTGGTAGTAACCATTTTAAATTCCTATGCCCGGACGGACGGTCTTAATGTCCATGGGATCACATCGGTATCAGGATCCCTTAAAATCTAATACTGTAACCCAACAATAACCTTCTAGAAAACCCAGCGTTACATTACATCAGCTGTCAATCGGAATTTCTACCAGGGGATTTAAATTCTCACAGGAATTCGTGATGCATATTGAATTTGAGTAAGGTCATTTGAACACAGAACTCAATTGTTCTCATGTTGCGACTTTTTTCACAACAAACAGCGTTAATCGGAACATATCCCCTGGTCCCTGGTGCTTTCTTGGGGACTCCACCGATGACCGGGGATAAGATCCTGCCAGTACTGTATCCCTTCAATCAGGTTATCAACATGTCCCAAAGTGTGTGCATGTCCACGGTATAATATTATCATTTCACCCAGTAAGCAAACCAGTTATTGAATTAGTCTAAAAGGTTTGTAATTGATTACACCCATTTACTTCTGTACTGTCGTGGATGTCCAATGTCCTTGGCGGGAACAGCATTCCCACTCCACCACGACGATGGACCGCTCGGACAAACCAAATAAATCGACTTATATCAACTTAATGTCTGGTCACGTCCACTTATATATTATATTTATCAAAGCAAGCTTCATCATAATCATAGTGTTAACCTTTCCTACAAAGAGTTTGGGTCTTTAAATAATATTTAATGTTAACCACATTTAATTAAAAACAAATGCACTTCTTTTTCAGGAAGATCATGACAAGCTAACAATACTTGTCATCAGAGGCGTTGAATTGTTTCTCACCAGATATTTACGAATACTGTAGGTGAGCTGGCCAATGCTAATTGGCCTGAATGACGGATTGGAAGGACCGCTGGTCAAGGCGGGTCAACTCTGACACCAATATCAACACATATGCCACCATTGACACCAGTGTAACTTCTTCTTATTTTTCTAATTTCCAGAAATCGCTTTCTTCCTGGAATATTGATCAATAATAAGATCAAGGCATGCGTTTCGACTCGACTTGTGCTCTCTGTTGTAGCGTATCTACATTTGGTGAACACGTGAGTTCAACAAGGTACACGACCTATTTTGATTTAATATGATAACAGAAAGTTAAGTTTAGGAAAAAATGCATGTTTTTAGCTCATTTATATGTTTAGTTAAGATATACTAATGCTGCATTGGAAATTGCCATAGCATGGCGTTGTACTCAAGCCCATTTGGTGAAATTGTTGAATTCAGCAACGTCAATTTGTTGTATTTATTCAAATCAAATGAAAGGTATGGAATGCTCTCTGTGGGCGAACTATGCGTGATGCGAATGGCTGGTACAAATAAAAACGGTATAAATTTCGAAATGTACGATCTTTTGGAAATCTTGTCTTTTTTATTTCCCACATACATTCCGCATATACAGATTAACGGTGCATTACTATTAAATATGAAATATTTAGTTTAAAACTTTTAGCTTTTTTCTATATAGGGTAAACAGTGACTATGCGAAGCAGGACATGTAAGGGCAACGTTTAAATATACAATCCAAAGTCAATTGGTAACAACGAAAGTAAAAAACCTGACCGAAAGCAATTTCATAGATATATGTTCTAGATAATGTCTTTAGCAGATTATCTGTCTGAATAATACTCTCGATATGTACAAACACAACAGATGTCGTTACATTTCCTCAAAGGAACACGTGCCCCTGCAGTACGCCATCGCCCCCGGCACTTCCTCTGGGTTTAGGTTTCTTTCTGTAACTGACATGGCATAACATGTGCGTTGTTCCTTGGAAATAGAGGCTGTATATACCATGCCACAGCTTCAAACAAAATCTATCAACGTTTGTCACGACGCGGCAGGGGGAGAGAGAAATTCGATAAACTACTCTATCTTTCAGATTCCCTGAAGACATATACGACAGGAGAAGGAAGCTGTCATTTGTACTGCCAATTTCACTACCATAGGATCAGTGTTGGCACGATAGGGTCAGTGGTGCCTTATCTAACCCATAATACATACACACTGCTACACTACAGGGGCATGTCCGTTGTGGTATCCATGTGCAATCCATTCGAAGGCACTAATTTACTGTTTGTACAATGCTGTTGTGCACATGCAAGTCGTCACTTTTCATCACATTTTAGAAGTATCCAGAGGGACTTGGTTCATAGTAGTGACACTGAACCGCTATGATGTTTCCATAATTCAAATTGAATGTAAAATATTCTATTCTGAATTCTTCCAGTCAATTGCATTTTGACAGCGTGGACATTTATATATATGACATCCAATGGTAGAACATCTCATGACAAATAAACAGTTACATGTTTGCCTTGTGCTGTTGTCAAATGGTGATATGATAGCTTTCTTCAATCAGATAATTGCAAACTGTACGTACAGTTTTTTTCGAGCAAAGAGGGTATGTTACATGCATACACCTTCAATGTTAACATTAATATAAATAATGTCCTGTTCATGTCTGATATTTTTAATAAAACGAATATTTCATTAAGAACAGTAAACAATCATAGAATTAAGACATATCTTGTTACGATCATATATATAAGACAATTTCTGCTATGGGTGTTCATGTTGTCTCCGACTGATAGAAACAACGGCATACAGTTGCTGCAAAACTTCTGTTGTATTAGAAACAATTGTATAAATAAGTGAATACTTTTAGCTTGCAATGATAGAAACTATTATACAGTCGGTACATACCTTCTTTAGATGACAGAAACGTGTCTTTTGTAGGGAGTTTACGTGTTTCGTAGTGTAATTTGGTGTTGCGAAGGAGACTTCTTTCGTGGTTAATTCTATATACGGAATACTTGAAGGTATTTTCTGTCGTTTCCAGTTCGTCGTCACCGAATAACCCACCTGAAAATTCAATAATGTGTTAAGTATTTTTTTTTACTAAGAATAAAACGATTTGAAAATAACAACTTTAACGATGATAAACGGTTTCACAAATCAATAAATTGGATAAGAACTTATTAAACATACATAGCGTACACTGCTATTTAAATAAGCATCTGCTTCTTGGTTTAACGTAAGATTATACGTATATTAATAAAAGCAATAGTCAAGAAATGCATTAACTTAGATAATAGATCAGTTGAGGAAATTACAATTTTATTTGCAAGCACTTTGATATAGTTTGAACACCAATTCGTGCCTACGGAGATACATGTTTCCGACATGTTGTAAGATAAAGGTTCTCTTTTGCAAATCACGTCTTATGATGTATGGCACTTCTTAGCAATCGATACTGCAATAAATAGATACTGATTGTTTACACAACCTTTGTATAATGATGTTCATTTGCGATTGATTCAAGGCTACAGTGTTCTGGTAAGTATATATCCTGACCAGGCAATCACTGACCGCGAGTGTTCTGATTAATATCCAACTATCAAAGTGGTCTTCAGACGGCCAACGTGTCCAGAACAGACGACGATAAAAATAGAAGCTACATATCACCTTGTACGGCAAGTATCGAGAGATAGACTAGGATGTACTTCATGCCAGCGTCGTACGTTTTCGGTTACGTCACGCGTGGAAGAAGCCGACGTCTCCTAATTGCATAAGTGGATAATACACGCATTCAGCATTTTTTTTATCTAGTTTAAGACTATAGTTTTGCACTCAACGATGAAACTTGTAAGATTTGACTACATTTTTTTTCATTAGCACTTCCTGGTGTTTAGCAGGCATGTGGTGTTTTGAATACTGTTATCCATTTTATTTCTTTTGCAGAAACCTACTGACGTTTTTTAATAATGTATTTCTCAACACCTGGAAAACACTACTGATAAATGTACGTTCTACTCTTACATTGTCTACATGTACATGCATTTGCTATTATTACGATTATATAGTTGATGATATATCTAAGTCATGTACTTCAATTAGAAACACCTGCCATCGCATTGCCATTTTTAACATACATATTTTGTACAGGAAGACACATCGACACGTGGTCCCTGGCTACCATACACCATACGTAACTCCTAGCATGAGGGAAGCAACACACGGGGTTGTCTCTATTAACCATAGATACGTATCGTCATCAATAAAAATGACACACTGCGATAACCATTTTCAACTTATTTTTGTACTGGCGATAAATAACGTGGTACATAAGAATGACTTGGGGGAAGGGAATGGAATTGGGTATCAAACTTTGGGGAAACGTTCATGTCTCTCCCATCCAATCATGGTGAATATTTTTTTTGTGTTTGTTTCTTGTTGTAGAATTGTTATTGAGACAATTATTTGTTCCGATAGGTTAAAAGTCTCCAAATACTAAATGCAGCTGCTCAGCTTCCTAAGTACGCAAAATGATATCCCGAAAATCTTGCTTATAGTTTCTCAGCCCCTTGTCAGTTTGTCCCTATGTATTAACTATCTCGCTTATTTTGAAGGTGATTGTCAATTCCATGTCAAGTTCTTAATGTGCATTAGATTTCTACTTACATGCTAAATATATATCAGTTTGCTTTTAATTCGCCTGTGTTGAATATGCGTTGATTAAGATTGTGTATGGTTTCAAGGACATCAAAACTCACCTCGTCATGTAAATACCACCCTTTATTTATTCATGTATGTGCACATTGCGATTATTATATGCTTGCTTAATGTAGTAAAGTGATTGTAAGCCTTTGTTTTTGTTTTCACAATTATAACTTAAACTATTTTTCATATGTTGTAAAGCGCTTTAGAGTAATATTACAATTTATATAAGGCGCTATATAAATGTTGCATATACTTATCATTATCATTAATGATTTGTCATGTTGATGTTTTGAAATTGATTATATCATCTCGACAAAGTTTATACGTGTTCATGAAGCCGTGATATTATCAAAATATATCACTTTAAAGATTCATTCAAGATACTCTGAACATGTACCTCTAAAATACCATTATATCAGTAAAATATGAAAATAAATCTGAACGAGGTCAGTCAACCAAACTGCAAAAGAGGGAAATGTGCAAAAAACGTTTTTGCTTATATTTTTATGTAAATTTCCAAGATTCTAAAACTATGAGACGCCTTGATATGGATTAGTGGTAATTGTGATTAGTGTGCCTTCGTTTTGAGCAAAGGTCATAAACAGTTGTACATGCTCATTAAAACACCCACGGGAGCCATCGCCCACTTTCAACATCCATGGTCTTAATTAGCACTTTCAAACTATCTCTTTGTACTCTTTTAATTATGGTAAATATTGTCAGTTAACAATTAAGCAACTGTTTACACTTACAATTTGTTGAATAGCTTAGTGTTAAAATGTATCAACTCCTAACTTTGAAGAAGTGTTACCTATCGGGAAGTAGCATATTTAGAATTTAATTGATGATAGGAATGAACCAAAATGGTGAATGAAGATAAAAAACAAACTTCAACTTTTTTCCACCCATTTGTAAACAATTTAACAGAGGACTACACGGCGCTTGTAATGATAAGAATGTCTGAAACGTTTAGACATGTCTTAAACGTTGTATTTGTGATAGAGGTTTTCCCCTAAATTTACTGTATTTTGAATTTGTTTATTTTGTAATTTTGTTATTTCTGTTTATTAAATTATTGTATTGCATTCGAATAATTCCGAGAAGCCTTAAGGTTACAATTGCGTGCAAATATGTCATGGATTTCAAATTTATAATAAGTGTTGAACTCTTACTAGACACGAAACAAAACAAAAACCAATATAATACCATGCAACACAACACTATTATTTATATATAACGCACGCGTCAGTATTTTTCATCTACACTAAACACACAGACTTATTTGTATCAATATTATTCATACCAAATACATTGAGTTTTTTTATTTTTATTTACACCGAACACATTTTTATTTTTATTAACACCGAACACGTCGATATTATTTATATACACCACACACTGATATCATTTATATACACCAAACGCATCGTTAATATCTTTATACGCCAAACACATCGGTAATATCTATATACACCAAACGCATTGGTAATATTTATATACACCAAACGCATCGGTAATATCTATATACACCAAACGCATCGGTAATATGTATATACACCAAACACATCGATAATATTTATATACACCAAACGCATCGGTAATATCTATATACACCAAACACATCGGTAATATGTATATACACCAAACACATCGATAATATTTATATACACCAAACGCATCGGTAATATCTATATACACCAAACACATCGGTAATATGTATATACACCAAACACATCGATAATATTTATATACACCAAACGCATCGGTAATATCTATATACACCAAACACATCGGTAATATGTATATACACCAAACACATCGATAATATTTATATACACCAAACGCATCGGTAATATCTATATACACCAAACACATCGGTAATATCTATATACACCAAACGCATCGGTGATATTTATATACACCAAACGCATCGGTAATATCTATATACACCAAACGCATCGGTAATATCTATATACACCAAACACATCGGTAATATGTATATACACCAAACGCATCGTTAATATCTATATACACCAAACGCATCGGTAATATGTATATACACCATACGCATCGGTAATATCTATATACACCAAACACATCGGTAATATGTATATACACCAAACGCATCGGTAATATTTATATACATAAAACGCATCGGTAATATCTATATACACCAAACACATCGGTAATATTTATATACACCAAACGCATCGGTAATATCTATATTCACCAAACGCATCGGTAATATTTATATACATAAAACGCCCCCGTAATATCTATATACACCAAACACATCGGTAATATTTATATACACCAAACGCATCGGTAATATGCAAACGCATCGTTAATATCGGTAATATGTAAATAAACCAAACGCATCGTTAATATGTATATACACCAAACGCATCGGTAATATCTATATACACCAAACGCATCGGTAATATGTATATACACCAAACGCATCAGTAATATTTATAAATACCAAACGCATCGTTAATATTTATATACACCAAACGCATCGTTAATATTTATAAACACCAAACGAATCGGTAATATGTATATACACCAAACGCATCGGTAATATTCATATACACCAAACGCATCGGTAATATTTATCTCCCCCTACGCATCGTTAACATTCATATACACCAAACGAATCGGTAATATGTATATACACCAAACGCATCGGTAATATTTATATACACCACACGCATCGGTAATATATATATACACCAAACGCATCGGTAATATTTATATACACCAAACGCATCGTTAATATTTATATACACTAAACGCATCGTTAATATTCATATAAACCAAACGCATCGTTAATATATATATACACCAAACGCATCGTTAATATTCATATAAACCAAACGCATCGTTAATATATATATACACCAAACGCATCGTTATATGTATATACACCAAACGCATCAGTAATATTATATACACCAAACGCATCGGTAATATTCATAAACACCAAACGCATAGTTAATATTCATATAAACCAAACGCATCGTTAATATCTATATAAACCAAACGCATCGTTAATATGTATATACACTAAACGCATCGTTAATATCTATATAAACCAAACGCATCGGTAATATTTATATAAACCAAACGCATCGTTAATATTTATATACACCAAACGCATCGTTAATATTTATATACACCAAACGCATCGGTAATATTTATATAAACCAAACGCATCGTTAATATTTATATAAACCAAACGCATCGTTAATATGTATATAAACCAAACGCATCAGTAATATTTATATAAACCAAACGCATTGTTAATATTTATATACACCAAACGCATCGGTAATTTTTATATACACCAAACGTATCGGTAA